CCAAGAGCTCGGTTGCTGCTTGGCTGTGTGTTGTGTGTGGAATCAATCTGTCACTTTAATGGGGTGCCCTGCCCCCCTTTTATAGACCAAGGGGGGCATGGATTACAGATGGGAGAAAGAGGAAAAAACCAGAGGGTAGAGAAGGCCCTTCGAAGGAGCTAGGTCTTCCTTTCCCCCTGTGCCTGCCCTGCTAACATGGCAGACCTTGTCAGGGATGGCGTGTTCGCTGATCCTCATAGGGCCGTGCCCTGGCCTCATTCAACAAGTGGGTGCGTCCCATCGTGTTCGCTGATCCTCATAGGGTTGTGCCCTAGCCTCATTCAGCAAGTGGGTGCGTCCCATCCTACACTGGCGGACGGTGTGGCGTGCCAGAGAGCTGAGCTGTGACCCTTTGGGGAGTAGATGGGGAAGTGACCATACGTCCATCACTATAGATGACGTGAGTTCTCTCTTGGATCGTAGTAGTTGTCGTATGCTTGTGTCAGGATCCGCGTCCGAGGGCTGATGGCGGCGCCCACAACACTGTAAGACCAAAGTTGGCATTTATAACACTGTTCGAGCTCTGCTATGCCTGGAAGGACTTTAACGTGCCCGTCCCATCGTAGCTTGATGGTACTTTTCTATAGACGTGCAGGGTATGGTCCTCGATACTGCGGTTGACTCAAATGTCCTGCCTTACCTCGTGCTCGTCATCATGAAGGAGCAGGGCACAGTCGTCGGGCGAGGCAAAGCTAGCCCTCAGCCGTTGGGTGAGGTGGAGCCATCCCTCAGCCGTCGGGCGAGGCGGAGCCAGCCCTCAGCCATCGAGCAAGGTGGACTCTAGCCCTTGGGGGTCGGGTGAGGCGGAACCAATCTTCTGTCGTTCGGGCAAGAAGTGTAGTAGCATTCTTGTCTGACCGAAAGCATTAATGTTCGATGGTTATTAGCTCCACCTCATTGGGTACCCTGGTATTAGGTCCCCGACAGAAACCCACTTGCAAATATATATCCTTACCCTATGAGTTTTACTAGTATGATAGATCATGTAGATTGCTATGCTATAGGACTTCGGTAGAAGTCGAGTGATTGCCGGTCACTCGCGAGAGATAGGAAAGATATTATTATTGCTATTATATTATTATCACCTGGAAAATATATATGAATGATAATTTGAGAGTGGGCGGAAGAGTACTTTGGATCTAGACTTGGTTTGGCATTCAAGCGAGGCTCGGGTTGCACTTGTTTCGCCTGTGTCGGTTAAGGACCGGCCGTTGTAATGGACGGCAGTCAGGTCACAGACTTATTATCCTAAACACATACTTGTGTATGGGCGTGGGAAGGCTCATTACTCTCTTGTCATGGGTTCCGGCTCTTTCTAGACTGGCTAATTGGAGGCAGGAATGGTGGAGGTTTAAGCACCGCACTGAGTCTAGGACTCAGGAGCGGGGGCTTGGAGTCCAAGTTTGGACGGGGACCTGGACCCCATGATAGGAGGGCAGTGGGTTGGTCTTGCTTGTGCTTGGGGTACAAGTGGGGCATGTGTTTTTGGGTACCCAGCTAGGATACATTGGTTCGTGAATCGCCGGGAGATCCGGTACAACTTGTCTATAGTCTAGCACTGTAATAAGAACTGGAATATGAAAGATGTAAAACTGGTTCTGATTGCTTACCACCTGCTTGAAAGTAGTATAGGCGCTTACATAGAATGGTTAGTTAATGAACTAATGATGACTACTAATAAAATTGAATATAAGGACACATGTTTAGTAATGCTCCTATAGATGCAATAAACCCACAAGCCAGATAGAGTCTTTTCTTTCTCCTGACGGGTAAGTCTTGTGGAGTATAATTGAGTACTCAGGGTTTGTTCTACCCTGTTGCAGGTGACAGGCTGATGCTAGAGCTGACACTTGTGTGCGGGAACCTCCTGGTGGGCTCAACGAAGATTCCTTTATGTTGTGATCACAGTTTTTATTTATAACTCTCACTGAATGTTTTTATAAATAGAAGTTTTATAATCTGTTGTCATAGTTTATATATCAATGCTTCATCGTGTTATGAATAGATATTTATTTCCGCTGTAACTCTGATCACATGTTTATATTCCGCTGTTAAATTAAATTATTCATAACTCTGATAACATGGTCATATTCCGCTATTATAAATAATAAATATTATACTCTGATGTTGTATGGAAAGGGATGTAAGAAATAGCTAAAATGTTGTAAGCTTTATTCTCTCATTTGTGATCCTGATGGAAAAATGTGGATCATCGGATTCTCCCTTGGGGTGTGCTCGACGGAACTACGTAATTTAGTTTCCTCCCTTGAGTACTTAGTGTCTAATAGAAGACAAGTACTCCTGGGAGGCATTAGATTAGACGGTTCTGCCATAATTAGGGGTTCGTTTTAGGGTTGGGTCGAACCCGTTTTTTGTTTGGTTAGAGTGTTGGGTTGTGAAGGGTTGAGCCACTGACACATGAGACCCACATGTCATTGTCTGGGTCTTCTTCTTCCTTGCCCTGTGCTCTCTCCTCTCGTTGCTCTTGCATCCGGCGACTATGCGGCCTACGCCTAGCACCGGCCATCGTGGCCACGAGTCCTCCCCCGCACCGGTCAGCGCATGGGCCGCCATGGCCGAGCGCGTGGGGGTGGAGCTCGCCCCGTTGTGCCTTGGTAGTCCTCGATAGACAAACCTCATTCAATTGTCTGTTTGTTTACATTTTATTGCATAATCACTTTATATGTTTTATTAGATGTCTCATGTTTCTAGTAAAAATAGATAATATAAAAATGTTTTGTTTTTGTGTACTTATGGGCCAATACAAGTATGTATTTTTTTAATATGGAAAATTCTGCATATTAGCTAACGTACAAATCCTTAGAACCTGATACGATTACAAGACGACAATGATACTTTAAATTGCTACTCTCTTCGTTCTAAACTATAAGTTGCCTTGACTTTTTTTATACATCCATTTTACTATACATCTAGATATAATATTATGTCTCGATATATAGCAAAATGGATGAAAAAAAAATCAAAGCGACTTATAATTTAGAAGTGAATAATGACCATGTATAGATTTTACATAGGTTTCACCCCTTCTTCCACTGGCATACGAACTCAGGATGTTGGATCCTATGATTATCAACTACGGGAAAGGACGTATGTGTAGCTTCCTCGGCGATCGAGACTGCACTATTGATGTCGTAATCACTACTGGAATCTCAAGCTTTGTCGAGTGCCTGCGGCACTCGGCAAAGCCCGAAATACACTCGACAAAAGCTTTGCCGAGTGCTGCACTCGGCAAAGGGCACTCGACAAAGAATTAATCGGCAAAGAAGCTTTGCCGAGTGCTTTTTGTCGGCCATTTGCCGAGTGTCGGAAAAGCACTCGGCAAAGATTTACACTCGGCAAAATGAAAATGCGAAAAAAATCCAAAAATAATAGCAAAATTTTTCAAAAAAAAAATCAGCGGAGGCTGCCACCAGCCAACGCCCGCCCGTCTTCATCGAAGTCAGTGTATTTTTTGCGCTAAATTCGCGGCTAACGCGGCCGGCGGGATTCAAACTCACGACCCCTCTCTGGCGTGTCTGCTGCTCTACCACTGCACTACACTGTCACTTGTGTCTAGATTCCGTTATCTATCCTCATATATTATACTAAACCGAGAGTAAATTGCTTGTTTGAGGCCCTAAATGAATTTAAATCAAAAAATGGTTAACTACAAAGTTTCATAACTTTTTGAGATCTACAATTTTCATTTAGGAAGTTTTTACATTTGAGGTCGTTTGAAAAATTCGAATTTTAAATTTGAGAGATTCAAACGTAGTTTTGCATGATAAGATGATTTCAAATCAAAAAGTTGTCAACTACATAGTTTCATAACTTTTGTAGATCTACAATTTTCATTTAGGAAGTTTTTTCATCCGAGGTCGTTTGAAAAATTCGAATTTTAAATTTGAGAGATTCAAACGTAGTTTTGCATGATAAGATGATTTCAAATCAAAAAGTTGTCAACTACATAGTTTCATAACTTTTGGAGATCTACAATTTTCATTTAGGAAGTTTTTCCATCTGAGGTCTTTTGAAAAATTCAAATTTTTAAATTTTCAAATTCAAACGTCGTTTTTGCATGACAAGATGATTTCAAATCAAAATATTGTCAACTACAAAATTTCATAACTTCTCAAGATCTACAAAGTTTATTTTGGTCATTTATTCATCCGACATAGTGATAGTAACATTGTTCACAAATCTTATATAACTCTTCTACTTTCATGAAATTAATATGAGAGATATGAGAGAAATGTAGAATTTATGAACAATGTTATTGTCGCTTTGTCAAATGAAGAAATGACCAAAATAAACTTTGTACATCTTGAGAAGTTATACAACTTTGGAGTTGAAATTTTTTTCATTTGAATTCATTTAGGGCCTCAAAAATTGCTTCGAAAAAATAATTTGCCGAGGGCAAAAAAAAATGCGCATGGCAAAATGCGTCTTTGCCGAGTGCCAAAAAAAGGCACTCGGCAAAGACGCATTTTGCCGAGTGCCAAAAAATAGCACTCGGCAAAATACATCTTTGCCGAGCGTCAGAAAAAAGCACTCGGCAAAGAGGCATTTTGCCGAGTGCTAGAAAAAAGGCACTCGGCAAAATACATCTTTGCCGAGTGTCGAAAAGAATGCTTGGCAAAGTCATCTTTGTCGAGTGTTTTTTTTTGTCAAGTGTATTTTATTTGGCACTCGGCAAAGACCGTCTTTGCCGAGTGTCCGATAAAATATAATCGGTAAAGCCTCCGATACTCGGCAAAGTGCCGGTTTCCGGTAGTGAATATACATGAACATGTAGCAGATTATTTGTATTCGAGATATATATCTCCTGCACGATCGAACATGCATATTTCGCCCAGTAGTTCCTGATGGCTATCTTAATGGTAAGCTAGGTTCCGGCGGACATTGTGGTCAACGTCACGCTGGCAGCTGTGGCAAAGCATAGACAGTTGGCAGCACTAGGAATGCACGTGTACCATGTGGCGTCATCGACAGTAAACCCGCTGACATTCCAAGATCTGTTCCAGTTCGTCTTCCACCACTTCTCAGGATCGCCGGTGATCGACGCGGTGGGGCAGCCCATCCGGGTGCGCCCGATGCAGTTCTGCGACAACATGGAGCAGTATGCCAGCGACACGGAGACGAACGCGACGCTAACGCGGTGGGCGAGGCGCCCAGCGTCCGCCGAGCGGCTCCGCAAGGCCGTCATCGCACAGATCATGCACCTCGGCCGCATCTATGAGCCCTACACCTTCTACTGCGGCAGGTTCGATATCGCCAACACTGAGGCGCTTGTCGCGGAGATGTCGGAGGATTACTTCATCAACGTACACGTCCCCGGAGTGAGGAAGCACGTTATGAAAGCTAGAGGCTCTTCGCCTTAAATAGGGTGCGAACCATGCATGCAACCAGGGCGTCCATCGTATCATCTCATAGGCGGCCTGGGGCGATCAAAGCAACGCAAGAAAAGGAAGACATTATTGTTCTATATTGACCGAGTCAATCTTGTTTAGTCGTAAGGCTTCTCCTAAAATAATGCCGGTCCTTCCTCTAAGAAGTCATCTATTGGCTGATGTGGTGAATCGGACTGAAATGTAAAACTTTCTTCGCCTTAAAATATAAGGTATTGAAGTACTTAAAATTTTATACTAAACTAGAGAATAACACGCGCCTTGCCGTGAGAAATTTTAGTCAAATTAGATAAACTGTTTATCGACCCCAACGAAGGGAACACGATTCGACATCGTTTTTTCAGCACCTTGCTTCATCTTGGAGCCATGCATCAGTCGGCGGGCCGCTGCCTCTTGATTTCTTATTTAATTGAGCAAATGTTTTTTTTTCATAATTGAGCGAATGGTTGGATCAGGTATGATGCTGAATCATGCTTGCTTGTGGTACAGAAGCAGAGTCACCTTCCAGTACATGAAAAGATGGATTTTAAGATTTTTTTTTTTGACTAAGGAAACTCTGCTTTTATAAAGCCACAAATAGTTCTAACAAAGATATTCAGACAGATGTAATTAAATATACTACTATTTAACTCTCTCATCCATCGTGGCTAATCAATTGAAGAGAATGATACATAACGTAACACTGAAGCAGTAATCACGTTTTAGACGAATCAGTTCCTAATTTGCTAAAGTGGCCTCGAAGATCCATAAGCATGAGAGATTTTACTGAGTCGCATATAGACGTATAATATACTCGGTATATATACTTTATAATATGCCTTTCAAAAAGAAGGGAAGGATTCCGTACACAAACTACACTTGCACACAATATTTTTTCCAAAAAAAAAATGAAAAAACTATACAGGCACATGCGAAGATGGTAGCTACAATCTACGTTATGGAGCAGGTGCCCGACCATGGGTACTGGTCGTACACGACGCCGATAGGCTACCGGTAGGGTAGTAGTGCGGATTGTACGCTGTGACAACATTGGCGACGGGTCCGGCTTCTCCTCCTTGTCCTCGCCGACCTCCATGATTTGCGTGCCGCCCACATCATGCCTAGGTTGCTGGTGAGCTTGATGGAGTTGACGTCCTCGCCAACGAGGATGACCCAGTCCTTGCCATCGCAAAAACTATATAGGCACAGGCGAAGATGGTTGCCACAATCTACATTATGGAGCAGGTGCCCGACCAGATTTTTTTTAATTTTAACATTTTTTAATATAATTTTAAATCTAACATTGTCGGGTTTTTTTTAAACTAACACTTTTAGCCGCGCCTATTGCCCTGGCGCGGCCAAATACCTGTGCCGCGCCATGCATGGTGGCGCGTCAGAGGGCTGACGTGGCGAGGGCCGGCCTGGGGGACCGCTAACGTGGCAGGTCTGGCCGCGCCACCGACCTTGGCGCGGCAGGACCATATATATACCGCGTGCGAGCCTTGGGATTTCAGGTGTTTTGGTGTCCTTGGGATTCTCCGGAGCTCCAGGGCTACCTGAGTCCTGTCACTAGGGACGAGTCACACGAGTATCGCTGCGATGTCCCTCTTATTTTCTTCCATGTGGTCGAGATTCACTTGCCTATCCGGGTCTGCAGACAGTTTGGAAGAATGACAGCCTGCCCACCACCGCTTTACTCCACCAATCAAGAATTGCACGGGTGCGTTATCGATTAATAACAATGCTACAATTCATATGTGTGTTTGGTACAGCTAACATCGTTTTGTTGCGGGTTTGACCGCAGGAAGAGGTACAAGACCAAGGATTGGCGCGTGACACACAGCCCGTACATCCATTTGTGGCAGACCAGGGTACCACATGCGGTCCTTGCGGGTCCTCCACACGACCAGCACACCTTCGACGAGTACCTGCGGCGGCTTCACAGGTCTACGAGGACACATGTCAAGTCCCCGTACACTGACGTGGCGATTGACAAGGACTCGGAGGAAGATGTCATCGAAGATGTGTACGACGTTACCACTAGGGAGGACACACAGCTACAGAGAGCCCCGCTTCAAAGATACGTGGTAAGATACTTGAATGGTACAATTTGTTATCCTTTTGGTTTTAAGTAAGTGTACTAAAATTGTCCAACCGTGTTTCTATACCCAAACGACACAATTGTCAAGGCTGTCCAACGAAGCAGCGTTCCGGCTTCACGAGTCTAGAGGGCAGGGCCAGGCGTTCTCGCGGCTTTTGTGGAGGTAATCATAAACTTGTCCGTTTCGAAAATATTTCTTTAGTGTATATGTGTTTGTGTAATGAATTAACTTTAACGTCTATTTATGCAGAAGGTGAAGAAGAGCTACAGGAAGCTAGCTCAGAAGCTGAGCTGCATGGACACTCCTTATGAGGAACCGCCACTCCCGGCGCGGTCGGGTGGCACGTCTTCAGCCTCGTTGAGGACACCAGCCGGCTCTTCTCAGCTGATGACAGGTGCCACTTCCGCGGTACGAACACCACCACATCATAGCGCTGAGAAGGACCCTGCAATCGAGGACGAGGAGGAGGACGATGACGACGACGACGAACCCCCGGGCTTCCGTGGACAGCACGACCAGTGGGACGAATGACCGCAGGACGAGATCGGCATGTCTCAGCTAGGTGGTGCCCCGCTTGGCACCCAAGGAGCCTCACAGGTACTAACAAAGATAGTTTGTTTTAATATATAGGCTCCATGAACTAACGATCATAAGTAATCGTGTGTATCATATACCTGCAGGGTACGAGCCGTACGCACCGTCGACGCGACCATACTGACGTTGGCTACACTCCCAATGTGTTGCCAACAAATCCGAAGAGACAGAGGCGTCCGAGGGATCCTTACACTCCTGGGTCTTAGTTTGTTAGGTCAAACGAATATTGCCTTCCGAAACTTGCGTGGTTATTTGGTTATGTTATCTCAAACTTATGTCAAAACAATGAATATGTCATGTGGCAGCTTGTCAACTTGCTTCTTATTCGTTTCTTTGAGTCACGGCAGCACTACCGGCGAGATTAAGTACCAACTAGTTCGAAAACCGACAGTCCCGGTGGTAATTTTTCGTAATCGATTAGTTTAAATGGTGCATAACCATATTATGAAAGACGAAAAACTTATCATTGGCTTATCAAATTCTTTATTCGGACGTGAAAAAAACTCAACAAAATACGTGCGCGACGCGTTTCGATTCAACCATCCAGGTACTCCATGCGGGCGGTAGGCGCAGCGGCTAGGTGGTGTGGCTGCGCGGGCGGTATATATATGGTCCTGCCGCGCCACGTATCATGGCGTGGCACTGCCGCGCCAAGGTCGGTGGCGTGGCAAGAGCTGCCACGTCAGCGGTCCCCCAGGCCGGCCCTCGCCACGTCAGCCCTCTGTCGCGCCACCATGCATGGCGTGGCACAGACATTTGGCCGCGCCAGGGCAATAGGCGCGGCAAAAAATGTTAGTTTTAAAAAAAACCCGACAGTGTTAGATTTAAAATTATATTCAAAAAAGGGTTAAAATTAAAAAAAAATCCCCGACCATGGGTACTGGTCGTACACGACGCCGATAAGCTGCGGGTAGGGTAGTGGTGCGGATTGTACGCAGTGACAACATTGGCGACGGGTCCGGCTTCTCCTCCTTGTCCTCGCCGACCTCCATGATTTGCGTGCCGCCCACATCATGCCCAGGTTGCTGGTGAGCTTGATGGAGTTGACGCCCTCGCCAACGACGACGACCCGGTCCTTGCCATTGCCGGTGATGGCCACGGAGTCAACCCCACCCTCGGCCGCCACCAGCGCCATGGCCTTGGAACGGCATGTCTCGGTGTCGCCATGGAAGCAAGCATTGCCGGCTCTGGATTGGATTAACTTTAGCAACAAAGAGCAGGACGCTGCCGCCTGTAGGTTGTGGATGGATCGGTGTTTTGGGCATAACTTTTTTGTAGGTGAAGTGATCTGATTGATGGAGTTGGAGGTGGAAATAAATAAGAAGTCTCTTTGAATCCCTTGTGAACATAAGTGAAGAATTGATGGAGGGAGGGAGGAGAACTGAAGAGACAGGAGGGAGGAACTCGAGAGAAGCTCCACGGTGAGGTGGCTTCGTAGAATCATTGAAAAATAAGTGTACCGTAGACCTATTAACTTTGGGTGGTTTATCATCTAGGTTTATTAACTTTTAAAATATGTTTTTGGGTTCATTAATTTTTGGTGGTATGTCATCCAGATCTATCAACTTTCAGATTGCATTTTTAGGTCCTAAACTTTTTAACTGGTTCACCGTAGGACTATACCCCTTCGTTTAGCGAATAGATCTGACATGGCACGCCAAATAAACAGCCACTGTGGAGTAGGTGATGAGTCCATAGCTCCTCAAGATGTTCATGGAGACTTGTCTAGCAATAATTCAAATGTAGCAGCTGGTAATTCGTTAATATCCTTTGATCTTAAATTTGGGACTATTATTTTTAAGGATAAATATACTGTGGACATGAAAAAATTTACAACTGCTAGTTTGTCATCAAAGATATTTTATAGGGGTGTCTTATTATTGCGTGGAAAGAAGGAGAAAATAAAGCCTACAAAATACATCAGTATTAATTCTAAAGAGATGGAGATTATCAATGAAATTTTCCAAACGTGATTAGCATTCTTGTCGTAGTATTTTATTATTTCCATGCATTAGTTTCCTATCCAGTTGTGATACATGATCTTTTATCTAGCATCTAGCTAGTAGTGCATGCGTGCACCTATGTACGTGAATCAAATTGGTGGCTGCGTTTGGACGTGCCATGCATGTTAGCTGAATCAGGGACTCAGGGTCAATCGGTCCTAGTTGGGCTGGTGGAGTCCGAGTTTTGTTTGAGTCAGGTGGCCTGCATGCCTATACCTTTGGCGTTCGGCCTTGTACCGGGCAGATTAGACTGGATTTTATTGTGGAGTTTATTCCCGTCGAGCCGTCGCTCGAG